ATGCGGGCGTAGCTCTCTACAGACTGTGAGTTTAGAGATCGCGCCGTGTGCTAGTGGTCACGGGGAAATTCATTCGGAACCTGGGCGAGTGCAAGGGGGTGGAATTAGGTGCCACAATTCTTGTTCTGGGAGTTTTCTCCCTCTGGTTTAAATTGAGGCTCCCACCTGGAAAGCATACTGAACTTCATTCATACAGTGACTCTCCTCACTTAGTGTTAGAATTTCCACCTTTGGTTTTCTTCCCTACTACCTGGGTAAAAACGCCAAATAGGGAACCAGCTCTGTGTGTGGGGAGCAACAATGCAACCGGTTGTTTGAGACTTTGCGTGGTAGAGTATGGGGATGCGTTGTGGGATCTTCTCTCCTCTTGCCTTTTCCTCTACAGACAGTGCAGCACGGAAGCGCAGGTCTGTGGGCTCATGAAACTTTGAACTGGTGCAGGTGGTGATCTTATTCTTTCCTTGCAGAGAGGCACCATGGGTTTTTGGAAGTTTCCACCCTTCTTGGCTCTCAGCATCTTGGTGCTAATCCAGGTGGGCTTCCTCCAGGCAGCACCTATCAGGTAAGTGAGCCCTGCCAGGAGCTCAATCTTTCCCACTGCCCCTGAGATCAGAGCTCAGATCTCTGAGCTCTGACTTGTACAGGGGGGTTGTCATGTATAGTTTTCTGACTTAAGAATCTGTAACACACAGTTGACCAATAATAATGTTAATATTCTTGAAATTTCATTGAGTCTCATAAAGTGTATTTCTTGCCTTCACCATATTTTTTCTCTGTCGCCTGCTCATTTCTCTCATTAAATCCTGACCTCTGAAATGAATTGCTTTTTAATTTGCTACCCATTTGCCAATCCATTTGTGGTCATTTAATCTGAAGTGTGGCCAGTAATCTATTTCTTATCTTTACATACACATTTATTAAATTCTAACCTTTTTGGTTTCAGCACTAATTAAGCCTTATTATTTAATTTTTAATGACTGTTTAAATCCAGGCTCACAAAATTTCTGAAAATTGAATCTTTAAAGCACCTGCATGGTATCCACCCATCATGGACTTCTTAGAGGTCACCCTGGTGCTGGGCTACTGCTAATAAGTGTCCTCACAGAAATGTGCTCCTCTGCTCTGTCCAGTGGGTGAGGGAGTAGAGGGTCACATCATTAGGAGAAGCTTTGGAGCCAGGAAGCCCAGCTGCCTCTTCTGGCAGTCTGTGGCTCAGAGCTAGAAATGAGTTTCTCTCTTCCTCAGAGCTGCCTTGGAGAGCCGCCCATACCCGGCTTCTCTCCCTGAGGAGGACCGTCGCCTCTTACTGATTGAACTGGTGAAAGCCTACATGCAGATGAAGGCCAGTGAGCTGGAGCAGGAGAGAGAGACTAGGGACTCCAGGTGAGGCTCTCTCCCAGCAGCACAGAATACCCCTTCCCCTTCCTCATGGCAGAATAGGAAGGTGTATCCTAAGAGGTAGGAGAAAAATTGGTCTGGCCATCCAGAGACCTTCCAGCACTGGAGAACATGGGACTGGTAAGTGTGAAGCAAAGCAAGCTGATGGACTTCAGAGCCTCAGAGTTTAAAAAAAAAAGGTTCCACCTTGTTCATGTCACACGGTATTCTCATGCACTGAGTAGACCCTTCTTTACACATCTGCAAGGTTAAGCCACAGGCTATGGAGGGGGTGGGCTCGGGGAGGGCAGAGTCTGAGGTAGGTGTGGGGGCCTTTGGCTGTGGAGGGCAGTGCAGATGTGCATGTTCTCATGGGGCTCAGGGAACACCCTTGCCCAGCGCCACCTCCCTGAGCACCCTGAGCTTGGAGCACACCCCTGCCCCTGGCCTGGCCCCAGCAGTGCCCAGCAGGGGCACTTGTTGCACCTGCATCCACCCTGAGGACCTCTCTGCAGAGCACGAAGGAGCCAGCAGCATGAGGAAAACCAGAAAAGGCCCCCCCTTGAAGTCCCCCGCCCCCTACTGCCCTGGCTCTGCATGTCTCCCAGTTCTCCCTATGAAGGAGGTCTCAGATGCCCTCCTGCTTGCCCCTCTGTCCCTGATGGAATGACTCCTCCCTGGCTTAACCTCCTTGAAAATGCCCATGGAAGCATGTCACCATTTAGCATGTTTTCTCCCTGCAGCCTGGACGTCCCCAAAGCTAAGCGGTGCAGTAGTCTGAGTACCTGTGTGCTGGGCGCGTACACGCAGGACCTCAACAAGTATCACACGTTCCCTCAGACTGCAGTTGGGGTCGGAGCACCTGGCAAGAAGAGGGTCATGGCTGTCGGCTTGAAGCGGGACCACGGCCCTCATGTTGGCATGCCCTGGGACGCCTAGTAAATCCCTCCCTGACTTGTTCCTCCCATAACTCAATGCTTGTGGTCCTCTCTGATTTCTTTTGGGCTGGTGGCAGTGGCTTTCTCTGTGGCAGTGGATATCTGGAACCTGAGCTGGGTGGAGGGGGAGCAGGAACTACAGTCCAGAAAAGAGCAGACCAGAAAGGGCAGCCTGAGGTCTTCAGAGCAAGCCCTCAGACCTACTTCTGAGTGTGCATGTATTTCTGAGATACATGAGCTGTGCTGATTATTACTCTGACCCACATCTGGGGCCTCATGGATTCAGGGACCTGTGCTTAGAAGTAGCCTTAGCTCTGAGGTAGCTGGACACAAGGACTGGGGTGGTCCCTGTGACCCACCTCAAGTATCAGGAACAGTGCACCCAGGCACAGGTAAGCACATTTGGGGCAGATACTATACACTCTCATCCTCTTTCAGGTGAGTCTGGGGGTATCATTGCTTCTTTAAAAAGGGATATTTGGTGATTATGAGTGGGCTGTGGCTTCCAGACAGTCCTGGAGAAGGGGGTAGAGTGTGGCTTCATTCTTTCTAGTCTCATAAGCCTTGGTTAATTTTCAGATTACTTATCTAGAAAAGATGGGCTGTGACAGCTTAGTGTTCCATGTCCAGTCACCCAGAGCCTCCTTTAGGTTTCTGACACCCCTGGGAATATCCATGGGGAGTGAGCATGGCATTTCCGCTAATGGCCCTGTGATTTTCTCCTTGTGTAAGTGTGCTTAGGAGAGACACTTAAGGGTAATTGATGCCTCTCAGAATGGTAATTTTGCCATGATGGTCCTGCAGGCAGGCGCTTTCCCCTACACAACTTCTGACTGACAGCTCTTCTCTTTCTTTGTCCTGTAAAATCAGTGTCTCTGCGCAGAAGAGAGCCTGCTACACCGCCACCTGCCTGACTCACCACCTGGCCGGCTGGCTGAGCTCTGCTAAAAACAGGGCAAAGAATAACAACCTGCTGCCCATGAACATGGGCTTCAAAGCAAACGGCCGTCGCCGCATGAACTTCAAAAAGTAAACAGCAGAACGACTCTGGCAATCAGGTGATGCCCGTGCTGGCCAGTGCGGGGAGGGCTTGGTGCCGGGGTCCTTACTTCTGAGCCACCTGGGCTCAAGTAGTGAAAAATGCCCACAGAGAATAGCTGCCACTCTAGTGTCTGGAGGACAAGAGTTCCAACTGATAAAACCCCCGAATTTGGGCTCATTTCTATTTCCCAGTCTCGCCCTGTGAAATTAAGATTACCTGCCAAGAAATGTATTTTCTATTTAAACACTGTCCCCTGCAGTGAATCTCAGTTCTTCAATCAAAGACAACTATCTCCCAGCTAGTGTTAGTATGGAGAGTAAGTGAGATAGTAGATGGCAATAACTTCCTAATTCAGAAGTGACTAAATTCTACAATTTTTTCTCCTAGATTGCCATGACGCTGACCCCGACCTCTTTAATTGGACAACTTAAGGAAAAACAT